CAGCTATTTTTTGGTTGTAGTTGTCATTGTTTGGCAGGCCCGGGCTAGTTTTGAACCTGCCAGCTCTGGTGTATATGGCTGGCACCTTAGCCCCTTGAGCTAAAGGCGCCACCCTTTACATTTGTTTTTAACTAGCAGAGACCCTGTTAGAGATAGGATTTTGTATCCTGAATTTTTCTCACATTGTTAAGCGTGCTCTGTAATTAGCTGCTTAAGCTTCCGTCTGTTGGACATGCTGTGGGTTACTTTACCATCCCGTGCTGTCTGACAGGTAGACTGTTTACTACTGTTGTAAACAGTACTGTGATTGAATTTTGAATTGGATTCTCTGGGATGATGTTCTTGTGTCAAGTGTGTATTTCCACTTTTAAAGTTTTTTTTGCTTCTTTTAAGAAAAACTATTAGAAGACATGAAACACAAGTTGATTTTACAAAAGGAAAAAAATACTCCAAGCCTATTGTGCTAGTAGTTGTCTTCATTCTGGAAGGATCTTGTGCCTTCTGCATGAGACGCAGTATGCAGGTGCCTCCGCCACTGTTGTGTCCTGTCATAGTGTAGAGTGAAAGAGCCAAGACCATACACCAGGTTTTGTGTGGAGAAATAAAGACCCACCAAACACGGGGTGTTTTTAGCTAGTCCCCCCTGAAGTCCCTGACTACCACCTCTGGCCCTGGGACAGGTCTTAGGCTCACTCTGTGGACAGCACTGAGGCCCAGCCAGTGAGAGACCTGCCCCCCTAGCACACCCACAAGAACTTGGGCCCACCCTGCACCTGTGTGGGTTGCCCCAGCCAGACCTCCTTCCAGAGCAGTTAGAAGAGTAATGATGAGGAATCCTTCAGAATTTTCATTCCTTTTTCCTTTCCGGGTTTCTCTTGTGAAGAGAGAAAACACTTTTGGAATTTTTTTAACTGAGGGGCAGGAGGATTTCTTTTCAAGGAAGAGAACTGTAACTATAAGTTTACTGACCTCTATATCAGTTATCTACATTTAAATTTGGTTTGCGGGGTGCATTGGCTTATGGCCTGTAATCCCAGCACTCTGAGAGGCCAAGGTGGGAGGATGCCTTGAGTTTAGGAGTTGGGGACCAGCCTGAGCAAGACTGTCTCTACTAAAAATGGAAAAACTAGAGGGTGGGTGCAGTGGCTCACGCTTGTAATCCTAGCACTCTGGGAGGCTGAGGCGGGTAGGTTGCACTGAGCTCACAGGTTCAAGATCAGCCTGAGCAAGAGCAAGACCTCGTCTCTAAAAAAAAAATAGCCAGGTGGGCGCCTGTAGTCCCAGCTACTCAGAAGGCTAAGGCAAGAGAATCACTTGAATCTAGGAGTTTGAGGTTGCTGTGACCTGTCACATCATAGCACTCTAACAAGGACGACAAAGTGAGATTCTTGTTAAAAAAAAAAAAAAAAGTTTTTATTTTAGGGGAG